ATCAGCTGTTGCCATCGTCCATGCTTCCGCACCATATAGCAGGCGACTTGTAGAGTTTGGTCTTTGTTCGTCGAGAGAGGACTGAAATTTTCAATTAGTCCAAAGTAGCACCTGTTCGCGAAAGTGTTTCTCCGCTGGATATCCAGACTGGCATTGTTCTTGGCCTCTACATAGATGCTGGTCTCTAGATAGAGGAAATTATCTACGACTTCAAAGTTATGACGTAGGCGCCGAGTCCGGAATGTGATGACTGCTTGTTTGATGCCAGGAGATATTTAGTTTTGCCCTCATTCACTACCAAACCTTCGTTTCTGTATCAAGTCTGAAAAAATCAAAACTCACGATGCAGTTAACTGCTAAAGGCAGCTCCTTTTGGTGCTGTGGGAGGCTACTGTGTCGGATTTTTTCCAAAATTCGGTGAATATCTAGTCAATGGTTGATTTACCATGTCAAAAGCTACATTGATAAAGTCCAATTAAGTTATTTACGGTGGGCTTTAATCTTTCACTCAAAATGCTCGACAGGACCTTATATACGATATTAATGAGGCTTATCCAACGGTAATTGAAGGCGTCCCCATTTTTGAGATTGCGCAGAGCACACTTAGGTTCCAATCGTATATACTTTTATCGGACCATATTTTGCACCTAACAAGTTCTTCACTGGGGTATTTGAATAGTTCAGTCGGCAGTCCATCGGTCCCCGCCGATTTGTTGTTTTTGAAGCGGGGATTATTACTCCACTATGAAGGCAATGAAACATCGGTGTCATCGTCATCGATTGATGAATCGGGTTAGCCGTCTCGGGGTGTTTCATTTTCACTGCCATTCAGCAGCCGTCACTATGTCACCCCTCTGGTCCTACGGTCTTGAAACCTTCTGTAATTCACCGCATCCTTCCTTAAGTCCTTCATACTCACGCATTTCGGCTTCTTTTGTCAACACCTGATAGCCCAGACCTGAGCCCAAGTGTTTTCTACTTGTTTCCAAAACTGATTTGGATGATATAGAGGGTATATAAACCAATTAAATGAAATATCTGAAAAATGTATCCGTCTTCCAGGACAATACGTATATACATTTTTGATTTCGACCCCTTAATCCACATTCCGTAAACATAAAAACTCTCCTTTTCTATTTTCATCCCTAAGGTGCCAACAGACATGGCAATTTTGCAGCAATTTTTATTGCATTTACTCATTTTGCTGTGAAAAAATTTCAATCACGATGTGTGACCACCCTGAAAGTAATTTCTTCAAATTAATTTCATTGAATTGCAAAAAGAGAAAATAGAGATTAAATTTCAAATTGAACATGCTGCGCCAGAGTTCTCTACGGCAATTATAATTTCTTTTGAAATTACTGTCTTTGCATTCGATTATTGTCAAAGAAGATTTTTTGAGAAATTGTTGTAAGTAAATTTCGAAATTCTCGGCTTATATAGAAATCAGACATTTCCATAAATTTCGTTTCAACTCATTCCTCACAAATCTCAAAATGTTGTGTGCTCCGTCTGTCCGGTGTGAAACTGCGCTAAACTACTGTCTCATAGATGGCGCTGTAATACGAAAAACATAAACATAGTCTCCACTGATACATTACAATAAAAACTATATGAATGGAGAGACTTCGCTTGATATGAATTTAGAATTTAAAAAGGTAACTGATCAGCATACATACATATATTACACTACTTTCTTATGTTGATTTATTATGCGAGTTTCACAAGATTATTATAAGTTCTCCGAGTTCTTTGGTCCCACTAATGTTGGCCACAAAATTAGTACTAACTTCCGTGGAGAGTTAAATTAGTATACCACAGCGCCGTCTGTTGGGGCGTAGTGAAACTTATCTCTTAGGCGGATATTATGTAAGCCGGAAATGGAACAATATGAGCGGAGTAAACAACATAATGTGGTGAGAGCAACGACTTAATTAAGTAGGATAAGTTCTCTGAACGGATTTACATCGATTCTCCAAAGTTGTGTAGAACTATATACTTTGATATATATAGATATAAAGCTAACAACAAATTTCGTAAATTATATAATATTCATATTCAAGTAATAGAGAGAAAAAAGATTTAATTCATTTTAGCCATCTGCTCAGATTCCTAGTAGTACCATTTGGAGCGCTATATGAAATACGAAAAATGCTAAAGAGTCTGTGCAATGGAATTTCCGAGAGAGCTAAGATGAGACGACATGCAATAACGCTAAGGTAATCATATGCGATAAAAGCGAATGAGAGCTTACTCTAGGCCGACACGAGCGCTCTGTTTCTGTCGGATTTTATCTATACCACATCTTAGAAAGCTAGAAACTTCGTTGATCAGAGATCTAGAGGAAGCTTCAAAACTCGATATGACTCTTAAATTAAACTCGAATTGTACGGAAACTCCACCTAGAACATCATAAAACCTTTACAGATGTTTTTTCACGGTTGAGTTCCCAAAAACTCATTGACATGAGCCATCAAAGAGTCTGCATTCCATATACCAGGCCTATATCAGTTGAGTAGATTTAAAACTAACGTTCGAATCTCGGAATCTGAGTAGTTGTTTTTAATTAATTTATCTTCATCGATGAAAGCAGCGTCTAGATCTAGGAACCTAGCTCTGCAGAAAACAGGACAGTCACCTAGATGAGAATCCGTTTCTTGCTCATCATCGTACTTACAGTTTCTACGGCGTGTGTGTGTGGAAGGGAACTCTTAACCTCGCTTTTTAAGGCTACTACTAACTTAAAAATGTCCTCCCTCTTGTTTCGGTCCCACTTAAACTAAGTTTGTTAAGAAATTTTGCAAGTAACTGAGGAACCACTTACTTTATTCGGCCTGCAAACGACATTCCAATGCGGAGGAAATCTGTTCTGTCTGGTCAAAACCCTGATGATCGGCGGCAGTCAAGCGCAATTTTTAAAGTTATCCTTAATCGCTGCCTGACTGCAAATAAAGAGATCCCTGCTCGTTAGTAAAGTTCCAAGGAAGTTGGATGTCTCCATAATAGCTGAAATTTCAGCTTGAAATACACTGCAATGATCGAATAGCCTGAAAGTGAGCTCAAAAGGTGGGACCATTGAGGAGACACCTAGTACAATTTTTCCATCAAGTTTTGATCCATCGGTCTATAGCTCAATACTGTCGATTGGAGTATCAAAGTTATTGCACCATTCTTCCCTTTTAGGCGCATGCGCTATAAATATAATTGCGGTTAGGAGCTAGAGTTGAACAGCAGCGGTCTGTGCTACTCGGTATGATATGTTATCTTTCTAGGTTTGTCAAGTTTAGCTCCCTTGGGCGAAGAGCGGCTAGCGTTGCGGTCTGAATACCCATGAAGTCTAATGTCAAAATATCGAGAATCACATTTAAAGACTTACTTGGCTTGATCTTAAGCGCACCACTTATGGTAGGCAACGCTTTGTCCCTTTGTTAACAGTGGCCACCATACATCCACCGCACACAAAAGTATTGGTCTCACAACAGACCAACAGAAACCCCATTTCTTACCGGTGGCTTGTTTAGATGCATAGATGATGATGGATACCTTCTCATATCTGTATTGGCTTTCCTTCTTGTCCAGAACTACGCCCAGAAATTTTCCTTTAGTTCATAACGAGTAGGACGAGTTGACGCCAAATCCACATCGCTTAGACCAGTTAGGTACTCTCCCAAAAGTACTCAAATTAAAAATAACAATTTTAGATTCTCGACGAGACTAACAGATTTTCTTCACAATTATCCGAAGCTTAAAATTCGACTTTTATATTGGGAGGCGTAGCTCAAACTCTACCTGCACGACATCTGATGAGCTGTGGTGAACTCAAAAGTACTTTACACTTTTATCATATGTACCTTTCGACCGACCCCGACCTTGAAAATTTTTGAGGTGCGTCTTAATGTTGTTTTCAAGAAAATGAGGAACCGACAGTTTTTGCTTAGCCAGTTGGATTTTTACGAAGAGATTTTATTTCATGTCAGAAATACACTCAGAGAGCATGACGTTCCACACTGAGAGGCGGTCGTAATTAGAAAGGATTTTCTACATTTTTGGATCTCGGCCTGGTCAGAGTTCGAACGCGTATCTTCAGCACGGCAGAATGCGCTACTAACTAATGAGCTAATGCGACCGATGTATGTTTGGAAATATTCTTCTGGGACTTTTAGGGGTTATAAGGTCATCATCTGGTGTGCTGACCGCTTCTCCTGGGCTTAGCTGACAAATAACGTTGCTAACAATTGGCCATCCGCTCTAGAGGAGCCAGACTAAAACCACAGCTGCAAAATAAGTAAATACCAAGCATAAACGACTGACAGCTCGTGACAGAAAGGAAGCCGCACTAGTCAATCAAAGGATATAGAGGCCATTCGCAAGAAATTGCCAGAGGTGTTGTCGAAGAAGTGACGATAAAAAAAACTTCAGAATCCGCAAGGCCAGAATAAAAGTCCTACAAGACGTTGAAACGACTGAAGGCACGACGTAGCAGAGGTCGACAAAACCAGCCAATTGCTGAGGGAAGTTGAGGTCTAATGCCAAAGCAACATATGAGCAAGAGTCTCACCCACTTTATGGCGAGTCCATGAGTTTTCTAATCACAATTATGGACCTTTTTGACAACTCAAAAAAACAAAAAGAAAACCAGATCGGTTAGACCAGTTAGTTACTCTCCGAAGTGTTCCCAGAAACAGCTGGGCAGGTTACAACTATGAATTATGATAATATCATCGCCGGCAGTTCCTGTCAGAAGCGAGCTAACCGTAAGCTTCCAGAGCATGAGAGCTAGGATGCTGGTGGCGCTTGCTTGATTTAATTTAATACAAAATTTAATTATTATTTTTTTATTATTTACCTTGAAAATACGATATTGGTTTAACGGTATTATTCAGTATTTTTTCATAATTCACTCACTTAAATTTTATTTAAAACATTATAATATTATATATATGTGCATAAGCCTATAAATATATGTATTTTTAAATTATAAAAGTGATAAAATTCCTTATTGAAAATCAAATTCTCTTCATAAATAAAACCAAAAAAAAGAGTGTAAATTCTAACCTTAAAAAAATGTATCCTTTCAAGGATTATTTGGTAATTATCATTGGTGTATATGTATGCATAAAATCATGTACATTCATTTAGCTATTAGTTTGAAAATTTTATATGCTCATAATAGCCCCCACCACCGCCGTTGTTGCTCCCAACCATGTGCTGGTGATGCAGTGGAGGCGTTGACAACGCGCTGGAAGTAGGTGGCGTCATCGAGGGTAGAAATATGGGTTTCCGATCAATAAGCGTTGAATTGCTCATTGAGCTGGGCGGTAGCGGTGGCGGTGGTGGTGTCATCGTTGAATGGTGTTGTTGCTGCTGCTGCTGGTGCTGTTGTTGATGCTGATGCATGTGCGAGAGTGTCATCGAGCGCAGGCCTAAGATATAAAAAGGCGAGAGAGAGATAAAGAAAGAGATAAATATATATAAAAATTTAAATACGTAAAAGCTGTGAGTAGAAGACTTGGTAACAGCGCGTGCTATGATCAGGAGTGCATAAATCCTCGACAAGGGTCAATGAAAGTATTCATTTCTTATGAATAATCATCAGTAATTCAAAGACGGCTTAAGGTAGTAAGAATTGGAAGAAGAACACCAAGACATTCACCGCATACAGAAAAGAACAGTACCTTGGACTAACCCATATTTTTAAAATATTTTTGTGGTGCAGAGTGTGAAACAAGTATCAGCTTTGAGAGGTCCCAGGCTATCCAATCGGATAGTACGCTTAACAGCTTTAAATTGCATGAATAAGAAAGGGGATCGGAAGACTGACGCTCGATAAAGAGAACACTTCCCCAGCTCGTTTAATTGCACTGGAAATTAAGCTCCCAGAGATGTCGCACCCAAAACCCCAATCGATGATGATGATGAATGGGGAAGAGCCTTTTCGAGCCTTTTGGTACTCCTATAAGAACGTACTCGTCGTACACTGCCTCCGTTAGGTATGGTAGTGAATGAGGGCATGGCGAAATATCTCCCGTTGACAAACAAACACTCAGCGCATTCACGTCTTGGCTCTCGTGTTACCGTTGACAGTCATAACTTTGATCTTACAGGCAACCTTCTCCCTCGACGAACCAAAACCAAACTCTACAAGTTCCTCATCATTCGACAACATCAGATGAATCGGCTTTGGGAGTCTCTGAGAGAAAGGATTTGCAGAAGATTTATGGTCTTTTGCGCGCTGAGATGGTGAATACCGCAACCGAAAGAACGATGAGCTGTACGAGATATAAGACGACATTAGCGTAGGTCATGTAGCCAGGTTCGCATTGGCACCGGTCACATACATTTGGCTTCCGTGCAACGCGCTAGAACCGCTGTTGAAGACCTCAAAACTGCTCAAAACCTCCTTCCTATCCTAACATTTCTCAGATTTCTAGGATGGCGGTTTACAACTGATCTCCTGTGCAGTTTATGATGAGTGTTTTCATATTTTCCAATAAGACAAAGTCGTCTCAGAACAGCTGATGTGTAGCTTTTTTGTTTTACGTCAGAAATACACTTGGGTTGGCATTCCTTGCGAAGAACTGACCGAAATTGGAAAAATAAATGTTAGATGTTGTTCTGGACCAGGATTTGAACTCATAACACTCCGGCAACTGTCATCGCCAGACTGTTGACTGTTTACGGCGGCACTAATTTCTATGGCGGGTCAGACTTGAAACTAAGCAAAGGGTGAAGACTATTTCACACATTCGCCGGCTTCATCAAAAGATCTCGTCTATTCTTAAACGATCTTCAATTCATTGCGAGATCCAACGTATGCCTATCCGTATGTGCATGTATGTATACTCGCATGTGCTCACATATGTATGATAGTATTCTCACTTGCGCACACTCAACCACACACATGTGATTACCAGCGAACCCCCGTTAACTTCACCGACACATGAAGATCATAAAACCCAACATCATCAATCTTGAGTTTCAACACAACTCCGACAATTGTATGGCAATTTTATGGATCTCGGTGGCGCTTAAGAAGCATTATAGATATTTGATTGACACGATCGCCATGAAACTGGCATTTACATTGCAGAATGTGGCTCTCTGTGGTGCATATGTGTGAGTACAACTTCGTCAATTGCCTATTTAATTATCCCTCTTCTTTACCCCACCACAATCCTACACATACACCAAGCGACGGAACTCACCATTATCAAGACCATAAGTGGCGCCAACGGCACCTCCAATGCTTCCACCACCGCCAGTCGTACTACCATATGGGTAATTGGCGGCCACCATGGTTGCTGTCGCATAATCCAAGCCGGGATTTGAGCTTTGAAGCGACGCAGAAGTGGCATGCGTAGGACTGCCCGTACTGCTCACCAAAGCCGACGAGGCTAGTGTGTGCGCCAAGGGTGGTGTGCCGCTATTGTTGCTACCATGCAACACCGATGAGGCAGCGGCTATATTCGAATACTGCGGCAGAGTCTGCGTATGGGCGGCGTGTGAATTCCAGGAATCCGTAAATGGTGCGGCGGCTGCAGCACTACTAGTTGCGTACTCATAGGAGGCATACGGTTGTGTGGCATAGAAGTTGGCGTTGTCCTAAAGGAAAAAGAGATGGAGAGGTATATTAATGTGCATACATATATACATGTCTCGCAGTGCCTTACCATACTCGGATCATAGGAGGACGTAGTGTAAAAACCATTTGTGCTTGGATAGGGTTTAACTTTAAGCTTTGACCGATAGCCTCTTGGTCGTCTCCGCAAACTAGCCTCATCCTCAAACATATATGCAGAGTTCTGATCGATAGTCCAATAATTGCCTTTGCCGGGTTTGCCCACGCTGATGCCCTTTGGCAACTTTTTAAAGCACTCATTTAGGCTAAGATTGTGTCGTACGGAGTTCTTCCAGCCCACGTATGAACCGCGAAAGAATTCGAATCTGCAAAGAAGTAATCGATTCATTTGTAGAAATTGAAAGTTAAGGTAAAATGTGCTATAAATAAACAGAAAAATAAATGTGTACTAATAAAGCCTAAGCTCTGGTCGATATTAGCCAAAATATGCATAATGAGGTAGGGTTTAGAAAACTTCAAAAGCATTTGGTTAGAGGTGTTCGCCCGGACTGAGAAATCCTGAACAAAAGATAGTAGTAGTTGGTACTTTATATCCGCTTAATAGATTTTTGGCCCAAGGTTCTCGTCCGATTTGTGGTATATGGAAGTTGGTCTGATTAGAACTCGAGCCCATAAATCTGTTTCTCCCACTCATTGCACTCCCTACCATCCCATTCAGCTACTGCAGTCATCATTCGGAAGCTTTGCCGATACAATGGTGACTAGGTATATTTATCAGTAGAAAGACTGATACTTTTGTAAAGTTTTATATGTAAGGAAAAACACATTAATAGAGTGACCATTACTAACACTTTCAAAACTCTTTGAGTGAGAATGTTTTGGATAGGACAGCTGGTCTAGCGCCTCAACATGCGTACTTTCAAGATCGCTCTGGCACAAAATAGACCATTGAAAGTCAAGAAAGTTCTTTCCGTTCCAAAAACAATACTCTCGCACATAGTGGAAGTACAGGACTGGACGTTACCACTTGGGAGTTCACGCGGTGAGGTTTTGAATTTTATGACCTTTTCTGCGTTTCCGATGTTAGACTGAAAATTCTCGGATCGCACATGTTTACTAAATGAAAGTAGCTGGCAGACATTGGCACCATAACCTTATAAGGGCACGCGAAGCCGTCTCGTTCACAGAACCTTCTCTCGTGCTGTCTGAGCACTACACGTAAGGTGTATTTTAAGAAGAGGTCTTTGCCATTAAGTAGACAGCTAAACATATCAGTTTACAATTTGCAGGAAAAGATATCTGTATTCTTCTTCGTTGGAGTGGGCCCTACCTATGGTAAAAGCAGCCCTCGACTTCTGATCTTAGGTCAAGTTAACTCTGGGTAGCCAAGAAACTTCGGTTTGGATTAGAGCTAAAGTGTAAAGTAATGCGAACCCTCTTCGAACTCAAGAAGTCAGGCCTCACAAAAATCGCAAAAAGTATCGGTTTAGAAACTCTCCTTTTGAGTACGATTCCTAGAGATGTTCTACGGATCACGATTTAAGTACATGCACTTGTTACGGTCCGGTCTTTTAATTAAGAAGATGCCGCTGCCAAGCTGATTGATGTCTTCTTAAGACTAAAAGCTGACGTTAACGCCGTCCAATAAGTACGATGGGCGGCATAAAGGCTAAAAATTCTTGAGAAATCTATTACAGCGGTCATCTAAAGGTGAGCAAATTTGGCCTTGGACTTGTGGTAGGAAAGAGATACCATCGACGAGTTTAAACATTCATCCGGCTGGAAGCCACAATCCGCACCAAAACGTTTAATGACAAGTCTACACTATAAAGTAGAATAGGAATGATGAACGACTTGTAGACTTAATGACACGAAATATTTCGTCAGAATTTTCTTCGGTTAAATGGGATCCTTAGCCACTACTCACTAGTCAAATCAAAATGCATGAAGCAATCGAAGTAACCTTGTACACGCTGTTTTACTCGAGTCCATAAAGGTTGCGGCATCAGCCTACTCCTGCAAAGTACGGAGCGAAAGAAGTACCATAGGGTATCCGATTCTTCCTCCTCTCCCTCTCTACACCCTCTGCATAAGTCATTTGATGGTACGCCCAGCATTTCAGCGTGTCGATCTAATGGAAAATGATCTGTAAGAAGACCAGCCCTTATAGTTATATCAATCCTCTTTAGTGAGATAAGCTTTCATTTCATGCCCTAGCCACATGATGTAAAAGCTGAGACTTATCCATTTTGAGTCGGCATCTGCCTCTCTTATAGTGAGCTTATGCCCAGTTCCTTCCATGATAGCGAAAGTGGAAGGGAAATTTTTTTATTTCATGCCGGCCACCAGAGACTCTTGAGTTAGCATCTGCCTTGAAAAACTCTCCTATAGTGAGCTTACAAGTGGAGAGCGGAATGACCAGTTCCTGCTATGATAACGAAATTAGAAGGTGCTTCCCTTCCTTGCAAGCTCATTCACCATTAAATCTAAGAATTCCTTAAAAAAAAATTGCAAAAGTAGTTGAGATGATGAAGTTGAGTTCGCTAGAGGGGTATAGAGTTCTCTGCATAATTTATTTCTATGTCATAAAAGTATATGAAAAGGAGGTGTTGATAACTAAAGCATATTCTAGAGCGCGAGTGTTGATTATTCTAAATATCGTAAGAATATGACAGAAAGTACTAGAACTGAGTATGAGCAATCGGTGAGGTATATTAGAGAGCGGCTAAAGCGACGTTAGGCAGTTACAAAGTAAACTGTGTCACAACGTCGGTTTAGAGTACAGTACACTGTGTGAAAATGTGTAGTGTTAAAATTGTAAAGTAAGTCGTCGTGTATAGTAAAGCGGATTGTTAGTTATTGAGTAATAAACAGACATTGATTGAATTCTTTACAATTACGAAATTGAAAACAAATTTGGTGACTTTTATTTAACAAAACAAGGGATCGAACTCAAAGGATTTTATCGAGGCGTATTTAGCAAAATCGTTACAATACCATCTTCAAAAAATAATTGGATATGTGAAGCATACATACATACATATATACTGCAATCAAGTACCACGTCAACGAGACTCTTCCCTACGATTGAAATTTTAGCTTTGAATATGATTCCTTTCCGATGAATTTGAGTGCGACCGAATTTGAAGCTTTGATTAAATATATATATACATATTTACACATAAAAGCCTTTAGAGTTCGCTGCGTCCAATCGGTATATGACACCAATGTATGTATGTATGCATGTATGCATGTAAACATATAACCAAACCTATCTAGCATGTGCGTAGCACTGATTCACATACTTCTTTAAACATATATATGTACATATTTATATGAAGCATTTTTGTATATACATATATGTATTTGCATACATATGTATGTATATATGTGTGGAAAAAAAAAATTATAATTTCTCAAATTGCTGAAATTAAAGGGAAATCGAAAAGTCAAGTCTTCCATCGGTGCCAATGCGTACCCCCTAAGTGGTGGTCAACGCGTTCTGAGCGCCATCAGTTCACTTCAAAATGTTTATTGAAATACAAATAAAAAATTTAAAAGCTTTAACAAAAACAATAAATAAATGTTTATGTAAATTGCCTTTACGCTGTTATGATACTGTTTGTGTGTGTTATTGTTATTGTTATTTAGGTATATTTATGTGTAAACATTTGGCGTTTGTCACACACACACACACAGTGGGTGCCATCAGTCGGGTGCGTGTTTGGTCACTTCCACTTTATTTATTTGTATTTAAGTGGCGGGTAATTTTTTGAACTTATGGTCATATGTATTTTCATACATACATATGTATATACAAATGTAGGTATGTACAAAAATGAACTTAGTTATATATATATGTATTTATTATTATTTCTTTTAATAATTTTTGCTGAATTGCCAAAAAGGTTCTTTATATAATATTTATTTAGAAATAATTCCACCCATTGCATATTTATTGTAAATATATATATATATATACATACATACATATAATATGGTTGCTAACACCGCGACTACTACTTTCACGCGTAAAATATATACACCACAATTTTGTTACTTTTTAGTATTCTGAGTTCAGGTATTAAAAAACAAGTAACAAAATTTACTTTACCGGTAGCAGTGAGAATAGGCCTGCCAGAAATAGTTTTGTTTCGTATACAATTCGCTTTGGGCAAAACATACTTACAAACATATATTCCAACATAATATTGGATGAGTACATAAGTTCGTGCCCGATTTCAAGTGCAAACTAAAATGGAAATGTTCGGCAATCCACTCCCAACGTTCAATTAATTCACGGATGCCTGATTCATAGAAATCGCGCGTTTTCTCGTTGAAAAAGGTGTCAAAATACGTGAGCTATTCGCAACTAAAGTCCTTAGAACATCGTAATCATGCTCAGAACGCCGTCCACTGCAAGGTTGATCTTCGAGGTTAAAATCTCCAGAACGAAATTTCGCGAACCATTTCTTTACTGTGCGGAGTGCTGGAGCATGGTCCAAATAAACTTCGCGAATATCTTTAGTTGCAGCGCCTACTGTTTTTCCTTTGCGGAATTCGTATAACATAATATGACGCATATGATCTTTTTCGTTGTCCATCTTCCATGCGTCTTTTCACTAAGCAACTCAAATCAAAATGAAGTTATTTTATGCTTGATTTACAGTTCGGACTGTCACCTTTCCAACGATATATAATATGTATATATTTCTTTCACGAGCGCCACTCTCAAACGATTCGAACGGCATCCAGCGGAATCGGGCACGAACTTATGCACTCATCCAATATTTATCATATAAACTTAAATTAACATTGTGATGCTTATAAACAAATGTTGAACATTGTTAAATTTGCGCTTATGCATACATACATACATATATATGTCGTTAAATTCTGAACATAAACGCGTCCTTTATGTAGCAGCAGCGCTCACCAACGAAACTACACGCTCAATTGGCTCAATTTTCACGCATTTTCAATATACCTTCATCTTCGTTCAGTAAATGTGATCGTTAAAACATGAGCAATCTTCGGCCAACGACAACAAAAAGTGGCAAAACGCCAGTTGATCCAATAGTTGGTGGCAAGGATTAGTTTTTGGATTAACCTAAGGGACCATATGTTCCACAAAAATTTTCAGGGTAGCGCCGGTGTGAAATTCCTAACCAAAGACCTTCCTAACTGATCGCAAGTCTTATTTTTATCAAAATAAAATTAGAAAAATTATTCCCATAAAGAATAGTTCAGACTAGATTGAAGTGACTTCAGGGCATCAGCACACACATTTAAGTTACCACTGAGGATCCTATGTAGCCGCCATCGACTGGTTAAACTAATGCGTGAAGTTGGTAAAAACTATCAAACGATGGATCTTTGCCACAGTTATTTCGCTCAAGTCGTTAAAGGGTAGCGTTCTCCCAGAGACTTCAACCTAACCCTCCAAAGTGCGAGGCTTCGCCTAGAAGAGTGTTATGTTCTTCGATTCATTGTCCTCTTTTCAAATCCTGCAACAGTCATGTCATGGTACGCACAGTTTTATTCCATGCCGGCCATATTATTCTAGTTTCATTGCAGTAATTGAATTCCTATCTACTACGAAAGATTCTACATACATAGTGGTGTGCCACTAGCTCAGACACTTCTATGATGACGAAAATGGAAGAAAAATGTCCTTTCATGCAAGGTTTTCCGCCATCTCATTAATTGGTATGCTACTGCGAGGATAACATGGTACCCATACTAAGTACAAAGAGAACTGTTTGGCCATCGCATTGCTTTCAGTGATTTGAGACAGTTCTCTACCGTCTTTCATTTAAATGTGAAAGATTCCATGGCTTTTATTTCTGCCTGGTTATCGGAGAAACTATAAATAAACTTCACCGAGAGTACCATTTGGCCTAAGCAGTTGACAGCCTCGTGTATGCTCACTAATTCCGCTTGAAAAACACTACAGTGTAGCGTTAAGTCGCAAGTATTTGCATATCTTGTTCTTCCAAGATCTTCCCTCCTCTCCAAAGAAGTGTGTCTTCTACGGCATTGACCACGCCTCTGAATCATAGCAGAAGGCAAGTGATGAGGAACATCTATAGTTTAGTTTTGGCTTATCAAGAGAGTACTATATTTTCAATTGCTTCCCTTATGTGGCAAACCTAGAGAAAGCTGAAATAACCGCTTGGTTTTTAGTGCCTATGAAGCCAATATCATCTAGTTTAGCTCTAAAACTTGATTTAATTTCTAGCATCAAAGTGAAGTAACCACACTATAAACAGTCATCCTAATTGAGTAATGAATTGGCGCAGACAGAGGGTAACCCTTATTGGATTGGTCGGATTATGCGGATTGTGCGGATCGTGCGGAGCACACTTATCGTAAGTTCCAATTGTCGAGCATGCTTGCATCCGTTGATATTCTGTAAAGAAGCTGAATTCACCTTGTCAGCGCTTCGTCGCCGCCATGCTTGAATAATTCGAAATATTCCAACCCCGTCAGAGAGAGATAATAGAACGTCTTTTCCATCCTCTTCTTCGATTAGACTTACAGGTTCATCATCTTTGACGTTAACTGCAATTTACCAGGCTGGAGAGGGGTTCTCTCCATAAATTCAGTATACTCTAGGCATTGATCACAAGATCAGCTCTCTGGGTCATATAAGGGTGTGCTTCGGTCTTGAACTCTTCTTCAACTCTTTGAGGATGTTTGTGGAGGATCATCGGCTTTTAGGCATGTATACTTTCATTTTATATTCTCGTGATGAGTGCAGTCAGAAAAAGTTTGACTTTTTCGTCTTTCAATTCAATTTTAATTCAGTCAATCCAATATCTTTGCATTAATTCATGTGCCATCCAGAAGACAACGAGCTTCTCTGAGAAGCTAGCTTTATTTAAATGATACCAAACTGTAGGTGGGATAATGACTAATGCCTCATCAGTGTCATTACAACTCGCATGTCGATCTTGCTCCAGCTCCAGTTGAAAAATTGCATGGCCTTTTTTTTTTGGGTGACTGGACGACTAGAGGGAAGTGCATTTTTGTCATCGAAATTTTTCGAAATGGAACTGAATCTGGATCCGGCGTCCACTTATAGTGTTCTCCCCGTAAACCACAGAAATTTTTTTGGCACATTTTTCAACGCTTTTCATTGGAGAGGTGACTCATTTTCACATCAAAATAACTTCTCACACAGAAGAGAATTTAAAGGACTGTCCTCACGAAAAATACTGCTTGAAGGACGTACTAATTTAAGTATATATACATAAGTACATATATACAGCTTCGTATCCGCTTAAGCGATTTTTAGACCGAGAAGCACCTCCAATTTGTGGCTTGTGTCTTGATGTTTTTCCACCAAATGGAGGGGCCTAGAGTTCATTCTAAGCCGCCTCTTAACGACCGATGGATTTTCACGAGCAGCCTTTATTTCATTTCAGAAAATACGAGAGGCGGCCGCATTTAGAGAAATAAATTTTAAATAATTTTGGACGTTGATCGAATCAGCACTGGAACCATCGTCTTTCGCAGAGCAGTCCGCAATGCTAACCACTCGACTATTGCAACCGAGTATAGTTAGCCAAGATAAGAGTATCAACACACAAGAGTGACAAAAAAAAAGGGCGGAAACTTTCTTGAAAATCCGAAATTTTGTCAAAAAATATTACTTAAAACTTCGCTCTTAGAGATCTGTAGATCGGTGATCGTTTTCAAAAAAAAAAATTATTCACTTTTTACAGACGTAATTTTGTATTTTTTGCTCAGAATTTTCTTGCTGTAGATGAGACCTCAACAGCTTATGATCAGTAATTTTCACTTACGGTACTACACCATACATATAATATTTCCATTTCAAAACTTACCTCTTCTGCAGGAAACCATAAATTTCATTAAGCGTCAATTTTCCCGTTGGCGACTCTTTAATTGCCATCGCAATCATATTTATATAACTCAAAGCGGGTTTCTCAGGACGTCTGGCACCGGATTTTTTCGTCGTATCCGGTGGTGTAAGCTCACGCGTAGAAGACGCATTCGACTGTTGTTGCTGTTGCTGTTGCTGCTGCAGTGAACCAACACCACCACCACCACCACCATCACCATCACTCTGATTACTATGCACCGACTTAGCCGGCGAGGAACTATTCGAATAGGACATCGTCTCGGTTGTGGAACATAATTCACCCGAAACGCTATGCGAACTGGTGATAACACCCGACGATGTTGACGCACAAGACACACCTGCACCTGGCATGCCAACATTTGGCAGGCGTTGCAAAGATTGTGTCAAAATATCACCGGAATTAGCAGTCGCCGCAGAGACGACAGGTAGGGCGGATGTTGTTGACGGCGGATGTTCATGTTCGTTGCTTGGCAAATACTCTGAGGTGTTGAAAATCGTATTGCTCGTACAATATTTTATCGTGGGCGTATAATGTGAATTCAATTGTTGGCTCAAGTCCACCATTTTTGAGGAGATGACGCGATTTTGTGCGGTCGTCGCGTAATGCTGTAGATTAGCAGCTTCCGGCGGCACTTTAAGGCCACCGCCAATACCTTCGTTGTGTGGCGATGAGTTCGGTGAGGATGGCATCAATATGCCAATGTCATTTTCAGGCGTTGTATGTGGTGAGGCACACATGGTGTGCAGCGATGTGAGACCGTATGAGGCTGCTTCCGAGACGAGCACGGGCTGCTGTTGAGTCATCATGGTCGCATAGTATTTACGATCAAGATAATTGAGGTCGGGTTTCTCCTCCTGAAGTTCAGGGGATTCCTGTGGCATGCGCAGCATGGCGGTTTGTTCGCCGTACGCGAGAGGGTTGAAATTCGTGGCGGATATGATGTTTGAGGGCAAGTTGCGATAAATGCTTTGGTGATGAGGTAAATGTGTGGAGTGATGGGTGTGATGTAAGCCATTGTGGCTGGAGGAATGGCCGCCATTGGTATCCATGACTTCTTCACTTTTGATCATTTTCTTGTGTTTTTTTTTTTTAACTTTAATTTACACGAGATTCACAAAACCTTCGGGAATTGAGTTTTCATAATTTATTTTAGATATTTTTCAAAAAAATATATATATTTGTAAAAAAAAATATACAAAATTTTCACTTTTTTTGTATCTACACTTTTTTGAATACACAACTCTTTTACTTTGTCTGTTTGTTGGCGAAGATCACCTCCCACACATTCAATCTTTACGCGATTTTGTTCTTTTCTCTTGAACTAAACTCGTTCAACTAAATCCATTGAAGAATTCTGTTTTACCAAAAATCTTCGCATTAGTTGCGCTCCAATTACGCTAGCCGCGGCAGCGATCAACGATCGACGATCGGTTTGCTGTGTACACATATCCTTTTCGCGGCAGCGTAACGAGCATGCGAGTTCTCATGTCATGACTATGCATTTCTATACCATCAACGAATGGAGCAAGTTTATTTTATAATAGAAATTTTAATAATAAAAAATCCTATCTGAGGTGATCGTGTCATGATCGCAGTCGCAAATATATATTTTCCTTGAGTTGCTTTCCTCTTTTCACCCATAAAAGAGAAGCTAAAAACCCAGTTTAATGGTTCCGTGAGCATCATAAGATTACTTTTAAACTGAAACTCTGTTTTGTAATGAATCGATTCTGTGGGAGTTATGGTCCGATGTATCCACCGATATCATCCGCACCCAAAAATGAACCGTAATAGACTTGGAAAGTCTGAAGCCACACTTATAAAACCAAATCAGCTCCTTGACGGTGGGACTTCATCATTTACACCACTCAACATATCGTTCGATTTGATCTTATAACCGTTATTGAGGTTACTTATCTCACTTATCCCTCGCGAAACGTGAATTTTTCTGAGTGTACTTACTATATTCTAATCATGACCAGGCATGCACTTTGCCAGTTCTTTGCGACCATGTCAGAATAGCTCGGAGCTTGAGACGGTACGCAGTATACTCTGAGCATCGTTCAGCAGATGCCACGTGCAATGTGACAAGACAAATCTAGCCATTAAGCGAGGCAATCTGTACTAAGTCTCTACTCTTTCTAAAACGGACCCCCATAAGCATAGCAACCGGCGTAATAAACGGATACTGTCCTCAGGGAGACTAATCGGTGAAGGTTGGACTGCTTCTCAGACGACTTCTGCTGCAGATGTAGGAACATAGCTGAGGATTAATTGGTAAAACACTGCTAGGTCACAGTCCAGCTCTCAGTGTTCATTCGTTATCGTTTTCTCGGAAATTTGTTTGTCGATTGCCTTGAAGTGCTTGCATCGGTAGGGGGTATGCGCTTTTGGAAATGTAAAAGGAATCTCTCTAGTATGACCAACATAGATATCATAACTGACCATCAGGCCCAAGTGCGCTTGATCAGGATGCCGTGATCAAGCAACCTGTTAAACTACTTAACTAACGCGCAGCTCCGGTCTTGATACCTCCTTTCTGTAAGTCACCGCATTTTCTCATAGATTTTCCATGTATTTATCTCTGTCGGCCAGCTTCTTATGCTCTTCCTACTCACGCTCAGTTTCAATCTCTGATGTTTTGCTGACGGCAAATGCTTCTCGGTTTCCTCTGTAACTCTCAGCATATTTTTCAACTCCTCTCTGACTAATTTGTATTAAATTTTCATTACGAAGGGTATATTTGTATTGAATCTCCGCCGCTGAAGACGCGCTGGGTTGAGACCTCACAACAGTGCTAGTAGCTATAGCGATAGCGTCGAAAGCGGCGATGGCAGCGGCGGCGGCGTCGCGACGTTGATGGTGGCGACGTTTCTCCCACATCGAAGTCTTTTGTTTACATTTGACTGGCAAATAAGAGCATAAAATGCAATATATATGTATGTATGTATATATGTATTTATATATGTACGGGGCTATTCTACGCTGCTAATTACATTTGAATATATCGCACATATGCACATATGTAGATATGGATATCCGTATATGTATATATGTACGTGTATGTATGTTTTCCTTGCGCCGGTACACACAAGGCATTGTATTCAAGTGGCGATCACACGCATGTTGTTGTTGCTAGTCGTTATTTGTAAAGGGCCTTCAACACATGTTCGCCCTTTCTTGTTGAGTTACGCGCAAAGGAAAGAAAAAGATCTCTTCAATCATAAAAAATTATGTAAAAAAAACAGCGTCCAAGAAGGAGAGCATCTGCACGTGTGCGTTATCAATAGATTTAAATATAATATACGCACATACATACACATATATATTTATTATTGGCGCTTCGTAGCCGCTGAAGCGATTTTTCGGCCGATCTCCCTCTCCAATTTTTGAAGGGACCTACAGGTTATATCATACTAAGCGGCCTCCGAACGGATGGAGCTTTTTATTATGAGGAGCTTTATTTAATGTCCGAAGTGTCCCTCCGAGAGGGTGGACATTCGTTGCCGAGGGGCGACCGCAATTAGGAAATTTAGCTTAATTTTTTATTTAAATTAATTTTCCATAACTTTTTGGATGTTGGTGGCACCGGGATATGAGCCCGAGCCTACCGAATGTCAGTACGCAATGCTAACCGCTCGGCTACTGCGGCCGCACATACTTACATACATACAAAATTGCGTTGCATACATGAATTGTCCAAAATCTCACACACCATTCTATATACATATATACATATATACATACACATGAAATCTTTGCGAATCTCTATAAAAAAAAAAACAAACAAAAAACTGCATAAAAATGTACCGTTATGTAAATACAAAAAACGACAAAAACAATTAGTTATGCACATTGTAAGAAACACGCTCTATTTTAATGTCCTTATGTCCCTCTTATTTCAACCCTTGTACGTACTGGGCAAAAAATTGTGACAATCGATGTTCACAGACTTCTCTTGAGGCCGATTCTTCACCAGCCAAATCATTCGCCATAGACAGAAACAGCTGGTTATCACTTGGTGTGAAGGCCGGATTATAAGCAGGATGCATAAGAAGCTCCCAACCAAACACCAAGAGGATTTGGTGAGTCACTATCGATGAGTGGGGTCTGGCGTTGTTCTGATGAAGCAGAATTTAAATTATGTTCGCCAAAGCTGGTCGCTTCTGGACGATTGCTTCCTTTAGACGCTTCAATTGCTGACAATATAGTACAGAAGGAAGAGTTTGACCGCAGGGCAATAGCTCATAATGGATAATTCTTTGCGAATCTCAACAAACACCCAACAAAACTTTCGTAGCCGTCAATCCTTGCTAGGAGGCTCCGTTTGTGCCATCTCACTGCACTTCAAACACGACTGTTTTCATTTGATGGTATTACAAATGATCCACTTTTCAACACCAGCCACCAACCGCTTCAGAAATGAGTCGATTTTGTTACTTTTCATCACCGAATCGCTGAGTTTTTTTCGTGAATTCATATGGCAACCATACATCGAGCTTCTTTGTGTATCCAGACTAATTCAAGTGGTTCCATTGCTTTTTTTTGTACTATTTTCACCTAATGGGCAACCGAAAAGGACTTTACATTTCCTGCCGAGGAACAACCGCAATTAGATAAATTAAGCCTGTATAATATTGGATATTGGCCGAGCTAGTACTCCAACCCTGGCCTTCAGAATGACAGTACGCAATGTTAAAAACTCGGCTATTGGGGCCGCCCTACGTGACAGTGAAACATTTTAAACAATTCTCTGTAACCAACGATAATTTTCAATTAGCTTTTGGGGCTCTCCTTCGCCGATATGAAAAATCACAATATTTATGCGCTTATCGAAAGCTCTAGAGGAAACTAGAGATTCTTAATTTTATACTCAATAGCAACAAACCGCTTAACATTGCTCGAAGCGTGGCAAAGTACAGAGTTAGACCGGCCAATGCATCATGGTTTTGCTCGTTCCACCTCGCTATATACTATAACTATTGCATGGGAAAGTGTAGCCGAAGACACGAATGTGTCTATTTTTCAATGTTCTCAAAAGCTGGGACTTTCCTACGGCACATCATAGCGTATTTTTCACTTGGACTTACACCTACATGCATACAAAGTCTAGCTCACATAACAACTGGAACCAGTTGACCATTACCAACACCGTACACACGTCGATTGGGTGCTTGGGTGAATAGATTGCGATATCGGGGGATGATTAATGATTTTTTTTGTGGCCGGATCGGATTGTGGTAATGATCTGGGCAAAGTTTACTTTTCAAAAAGTCGGCGCTGCAAGCAACTTAACCATCAGTCCTTTAAGGAAAAGTTTCAAAATAGCAGCTCTTACTGGAATACCCTATAGGAATACATGGCCACATACATATTAGCAATACATGCATATGTATGTATGTGAATATATGCACATCAAGCTGAAGATTTATATATATTCATATTTACATTTCTACGCACCGCCATACCTTTTTACATACATATTTATGCCCACAACGAAAGAAGAGTTCGAAAACTAAGAGCTACAAGAAAAGAAGAGGAAAAGACCAATTATTGCCAAGCCAATGATTAATGGACTGTTGATTGAGCACAGCGACGAGTGGCAAACGGGCCATTAATTGAAGCCGTCCGATCGACGTAACGCACAGAGAGCACAAACAGGTTAAATGAAATCGAAGCACACACGACCGGGAACATTTGGAGCAATCAAGCAGAACGCCGCCATTGCTTTTGCCTCCATCAATTACAAGCCCTAAACGCCAACACCAACAACGCACATGCATACGTTCATACATACATACATACACACATATTAGTACAGACTCGCATTGTCTGCTGTCATTGCTGTTACCAGTCGCCGATGCTGTTGCCTGCCACTCATCAACTTGCCCGGCTGTCGTCGTCCCACAAATTGATCGGCATGCTTGCCGAATAAAGGAAAACTACATACACACATACGTGTATGTACATATATTGTGTATTGTATATAAACGCATGCGACTGTCAACGTGAATGCCAAAGCATGCGATCGCAGGTCGGGCGAGAGTGGAATTGTGTCGCAACAACAACAACAGCAACAACAACAAGCAGTCAAAGTAAAGCCGGCGAGAAACATTTCAATTGAACACACAACGCCTGTGATTCTCTGTACATACATACATACATAACTGGCGCGTTGAGGGGCGGAGTTTTGTTTACATTATATTTTTGTCGAATGTTTTTAAGCGCTCAGATTGGCGCGATGGTGGTGCAAGTATGTGTGTATGTATGTGTGTATGCGTATGTAGATACTAGTTGTTTCTGCTATTTTCGCTGTTGTGC